CTTATGTGGGCAGACTTGTGAGAAGGAGTGTTGTAGCATGGCTGGCTGAATTGGACTCTTTCAGCTCATTTTAGCATGTGCAAACTCCTGATTGCTCTCTGTCCAAGCGTACACGGTTCAATCTCGGTCATAGTGCCCAAATCCATGGCTATGGCCCTTATGGAGGACTCTTCAATTTCCTATGCTGGATGTGTTGCTCAAGTTTTGTTCTATATCTTCTTTGCTGTATCAGATTTTATTCTCTTAATTATAATGGCCCATGATCGCCATATTGCTATTTGCAACCCACTGCAGTATGAAAGAATCATGCACAAAGGAGCCTGCTTTCAGATGGTAGCACTAGGGTGGATTACTAGTTTTGGTTATGCCTTATTACACACTGTTGGCACCTTTGCAAACACCTTCTGTTCAAATACAGTCAGTCAATTTTTCTGTGAAATCCCACAGTTATTGAAGCTTTCCTGCTCTGACCTTTATCTTGTGGAAGTTGGGCTTCTTGTAGTGAGCTGTGTTATTGCACTGGGATGCTTTATCTTCATCATCATAACATACATGAAGATTTTTGCTACTGTGCTCAGAATCCCCTCGGTACATGGTCAAAGAAAAGCTTTCTCTACTTGCATTCCCCATCTGGCTGTTGTCTCTGTGTTGGTATTCAGCTCAAGCTTTGCCTATGCTAGGCCTCCGACTTATACATCTTCTGCTCTGGGCATGACATTTGCTGTGATATATGCTGTAATTCCTCCCCTGTTGAATCCATTCATTTATAGCATGAGAAACAATGAGCTCAAGACTGCTTTGTGTACATTGTTACATTTCAGGCTTTCTTCTAAAACCATTTCCACCCATCTTTAGAATTTTGTACAAATACTTTTCTATTTATATTGATCACTAATTTTGTATCATTTATCCTTCTTAATTCCTGTTTAGCCCCTTGAGTTGAAGACAACCTACATAGGCTGACATTAAAAACACCTCTGATATATGTATTATACAGGATTCCAATTTACATGGTGAGGAAGAAAGCCAGTGTTGGGACAGTGGCAAAGACCCCTTCCCTTCATAGTACCACCTTAGTCTGCTAGTGAATTTTGATGTCTCAATAACAAGTGGCTCCCCACCCATATCACACACACCAAGGATGTATGTATGTGGCTCTCCTGTATGAGAGAACCATTCCCTAGGACAGGGAAAATAAATGTTACAGAATTTATTTCAGTTGGACTGCAATTTATATAGTTCAGAATCTCAAAGCTGAAAAATAAAGAACAAGGTATGTAAAGATACAAGACCCCATAGTTTAATTGCATCAAAATCCATTTATGGCTATCAAGCAAGCTTTAGCAGGGCTGTATTCACATTTAAATATGTTGCTGATATTCAGGTGGGAACTTAAGGGATGGGACTTCAGTGTATCACCACCCACTTAGCCCTCTTTGGATTCATGCATAAAGTCTCAATATGGTTGCAGCAGATATTCTGCCAAAGATTTGTACAAAGCAGGAAAATATTGGTGGTGCAGCTATTGTTTTAAAGTACATAAAGAGCACAGTTGTAGCCTTGTAAGAACATGAATGTGGCTGATGACTTACAATCAGAAAAACATATTTGCTGGATCTCATCCTCAGTTGAGAAGCCAGAATAGAGGATACCTTGCAGGTTGCCTCTTCAGTTTTAGGGCCAGTTTTGCATTTCCCCAATACAGTATTTTATAGGTTGGCCTCTCTTTAACTCTTACAAAAGGGGGAAAGGAGGTTGTAGCTGTAAAGGGTAAGGAAGAAGAGTGATGGACCTCTTGGTAGAAGTATGGATGATAGGTTCAAAGATACATGGCACATAAAATACTGACATCTGGATATCTAGCTGGCATAATTCAGCTCCTCAACTTAAAATCACTTGCCAGTGGTCCTTTGATGTAATAAGAACAAATGCAAAGCACTTAGAGAAAATGAGACACATACTGTAGATTTCATCTACAAGCAGAATTCTTTTTTCATGTATTCAGAAAGCTACGGTTTGGTAATTATTTCTTTAATGCCTCACTAATGTGCATAGGGGCAATTATTGGTCAACTCCACTAAACTGGGAAATAAACTCCTCTGAAGTTTGAAGCTTATATACAGTTCCAGTTCCTTCATGCACTTTGCTAACCTTCAATATGTTGTGATGTTTTACTACAAACATTTTAATTAAAAATACATAGATATAAAGTCACAGAACTGATAAGGACCTGCCATTACTCATAGACGATTCCCCATTTTGTTTAGAATTTTATGAGTAAGCAGATTATAAATCTCCATTTCACCTTCCCAAACTAAGAATGTGAATTCAATGTGTAGCAAAGCAATCAGAAAAACCAGCATGTTTGAAAGCTCCACTGAATGGGATGTTGGAGACAAAGTGGCTTCAAAGATACAAAAGGTTTCGAAGGGTTCGTCATCGTTTAGTCGTTCAGTTGTGTCCGACTCTTCATGACCACATGGACCAGAGCAGACCAGGCTCTCCTGTCTTCCACTGCCTCCCGGAGTTGTGTCAAATTCATATTGGTTGCTTTGATGACACTGTCCAAACATCTCATCCTCTGTCGTCCCCTTCTCCTCTTGCTTTCACACTTTCCTAACATCAAGGTCTTTTCCAAGGATTTTTCTCTTCTCATGAGATGGCCAAAGTAGAGTGGTCTTAACCAACCAGATAGATAGATAGATAGATAGATAGATAGATAGATAGATAGATAGATAGATAGATAGATAGATAGATAGATAGATAGATAGATAGATAGATAGATAGATAGATAGATAAATAAATACCAGTGAGCACTCAGGGTTGATTTCCTTTATAATGGATAGGTTTGTTCTCCTTGCAGCTTCAGGATCTGTCTCTCCAGTGAGCACTCAGGGTTGATTTCCTTTATAATGGATAGGTTTGTTCTCCTTGCAGCTTCAGGATCTGTCTCTCCAGTGAGCACTCAGGGTTGATTTCCTTTATAATGGATAGGTTTGTTCTCCTTGCAGCTTCAGGATCTGTCTCTCCAGTGAGCACTCAGGGTTGATTTCCTTTATAATGGATAGGTTTGTTCTCCTTGCAGTCCAGGGGACTCTCAAGAGTCTCCTCCAGCACCACAATTCAAAAGCATCAATTCTTCGGCGGTCAGCTTTCTTTATGGTCCAGCTCTCACTTCCATACATCACTACAGGAAAAAACATAGCTTTGACTATGCGGACTTTTGTTGGCAAGGTGATGTCTTTGCTTTTTAAGATGCTGTCTAGGTTTGTCATCGCTTTCCTCCCAAGAAGCAGGCATCTTTTAATTTCAGGGCTGCTGTTCGAAGGGTTAGTGCTGAGTAAATTAAACTCTTTGGAAGAATGAGGGAGCAATAGAGGAAGGTGAGTGGGTATCCTGGGAGGACATGAGGGGTGGTATTCCTCATAAGACTGCTATATTGTTAAGGATGGGCAGGACTGCAGAGACATGACATCTGCTTTATCTTCTGTTGGGAGGATTGTCTCTTAAAGGAAATTGGTCCAACAGAGCAAATGGCTTGCTTAGTATTTTGCTTGGATACCCTTCTGGGTCATTTCATGTGCCCTTTAAATTTTTCAGACAGAGGATGGCCCTGCTCTAGTGTGGAATCCCAGTTTGGAGCCAGGGCCCAAAATGTCTTCCTCTCCAACCTTGTAATCCCAGGAATCTTCAGTGATGAGAAATAGGATGGACTATCAACCCCCTTGGGAATTCACCAATCATCACCTCTTCTATATTACCTGACAGTGTGACCTATTTATAAACAACCCCAGCAAGTCAGTCCGTGACAGACCATAGATGAGATAGGCAAAAACCATCCTGTTCACTGTGCTCCATATCTGCCAATCAGGTAAATTGTGCCAAAAATTCCTGTCTGGTTCTAGCAGCAACCGGTTAGTCTCAGGATAGGTACCCAGGCCAGGTGGGTAAGTTGTGCACCCCGCCTCAGCTGGGGCAGGGCTGCCTTAAATAAGGTGCTCTTGCCCCACCCCCAATCCAGCCACATGGGAAGCTGTGGCATTCCATACTTGCCTGGCTTTGGCGAGGGGTGAGCAAAGAGCACCCCCCCACCTCCACAGCTCTGTGTGATGGGGGAGTCAAACCTTTGTTGTGTTTCTTTAAATCCTGGCATTTTGGCACAACTGAAAATGCTAAGAATACTTTGATGAAGCAAACCCTTAACAAAACCCTGAGGGAATGCTCAAGTTTATTTTCAAGATTGGGATCTTTCTTGGAATTCAGACACAGAGGAGTTGTGTTAACGATCTCCCCAGAGTAACTTCAAATGTGTATGAAGGGAGATTCAGGTGCTGGATTCCTGGTAGTAAGGTCCCCCCAGAAGCCAAAGCTGAGTCAAAGTGTTTTTCACTTCCTCTCTGTGTGATTCTTGTGTTGCTGCAAATGAAGGTCTTTCTTTTCTTTTACATAGGAAGAAATACTGAGGTTAGAGTAAGCAAAAAATCTGCTCATACACCTGTGCTGTATCATGCCATAGTTCCAACTAAAGCCAAAGCTGAATTCTAAAAGCAAAGATTTATTCCACACTTTTAAAGGTATTTCAGTAAGTTTTATTTCTTTTTGTGGATTCCATAGTTATGTGTTTGTGTGCTCTCCCCTCCAATGCCTCTCTCTTTATATCTATCTATCTAATTTATAGCAATTGGTTTGTGAATGTTTCCCTTGGAGTACGTTTTGTCTTCAGAAATCTCCAATTTGATGCTTCTTGTTTTCATAAATATGACTATTAGGTAGGTGTTGGGTGAAATATATCTTATAAAATGCTGAAGAGTAGAACTTTGAATAACATGAGTGGACACTGTTGTAATGCTGTAAAATGCAAAGCCTTCCGTTTATGTGAACTATTTTCAGGGGGAGGGAGATATTTTATTTAGGTTAATACATTGGATACTGGTTGGTCTGTGAGTGCTGCCATGCAAATACACACTCAAAAATATAGTTATCATGGGATGGATATACTAGGCCACTTGGATATTTTAGCTATTGCATGTGGGAAATTTTGATCTACAAATGATTGAAACAGTTTGAAATATAATGCATTATAGAGTTGACATTTACAATTCCTAATCTTTATGTAAAATGTAGTACAGAGAAGCTGGAGTGAAGTGCTCTGTTCTTAATTATATTAAGAAGAACCATGGCCTTTCATTGTGAGGACAATAACTAGTATTTCATTTCTCCAGCCTTCTTTTACTTCTTAGTAAAGCCCCAGTCTTGTTACATAGCACACAATGAGGAACACAAGCTTTGATTTCTTAACTAGTGGCACTCTGATGTTTATCTTAGGCCACTTATGCTGTGACCGAAAATGTGGCTTTAACTATCCATTATAATTGTTTAATTAATTTTATGAAAGAACCACACCCCAACAGTAAGAATGGGATGGGCGAAAACACATCTGCCTCTTTCAAAGCCAATTGTGGATGCAGGCAAAAAAGTCCCATCCAGCTCCATAGGCAACCAGCTAGTCTCATTCTTACCATTAAGGTGGGTGGGTGCGTGGGAGGGTTGTTTGGCCGATGGAAGAAGAGGCAGGTCAAGAGGGATGCTGCCTCTTAAAGGCTCTTCCCTTCATCCCCTCCCATTGTCAATTAACTGCACTTAGCCAAAGTTATTCAAAACTTACACAAATGGTAGGGTTGCAGTTGGTATATGCCAAAAAAGATCTTTAAACTGGAGGTGAAGGGGAGATGGTGTGGTCCAAATGAGAATGGTAATTCTCCTCTAGTAGCAGAGCATCAGCTTTTTTACTTCATGTTTTGCTCTTTTAAAAATATGCATTCTGGCATTTCAGATATTACTGTATTTGTATGGTACCAAACAGTCAAATAAATCAGGAGGGGGGGGAGGATTGGTAAATTTCCTTTTTTAGTTCGGCAAATTCTGCTTAAAATAACCAGCTAATTATAATGAGCAGATTTATAGTTATTGTCTTCTTCTAATTACAGATAATATGCATGTACAAAAGGCAAGATGAATAATCACACAGTGCACATTTTTCTGCTGATGGGATTCTCTGATGCCCGAGAACTCCAGATCTTATACTTCTTCGTATTTCTTGCATTGTACACGATGTCCGTAACTGGGAACCTTCTGATTATCATTGCAGTGGCCTTGGATTACCACCTTCATACTCCCATGTATTTCTTCATTTTGAACTTAGCCATGATGGACCTTGGCTCAGTTTCGGTCACAGTCCCTAAATCTATAGCTATGTCCGTTACAGATGACAGATCAATTTCTTATGCTGGATGTGTTGCTCAGGCTTTCTTTTATGTCTTCTTTTTAGCTTCAGGTTTTTGTGTCCTCACTATAATGGCCCATGATCGCCATATTTCTATTTGCAACCCACTCCAGTATGAAAGAATCATGCACAAAGAAGTCTGCTTTCAGATGGTAGCACTAGGGTGGATTGGTAGTCTTGGTTATGCCGTGTTACACACTGGCGGTACATTTGCAAACACCTTCTGTTCTAATATAGTCAGTCAGTTCTTCTGTGAAATTCCACAGTTATTAAAGCTCTCCTGCTCTGACATTTATCTTGTGGAAGTTGGGTTTATTGTACTGAACTGTGGTATTATGCTAGGATGTCTCATCTTCATCATCCATACCTATGTGCAGATCTTTGCTACAGTGCTCAGAATCCCCTCAGTACATGGTGAGAAAAAAGCCTTTTCTACTTGCATTCCCCACCTCATAGTTGCCTCCATGTTTATATTCAGTGGAATCTGTGCCAATGCAAGGCCTCGGACTAATACCTCTTCTGTTCTGGACATGGCTTTTGCTGTGATGTATGCTGTAATTCCTTCCCTGTTGAATCCATTCATTTATAGCATTAGAAACAAAGAACTCAAGACTACTTTGTGGAAACTGGTAAATTCCAAGCTTTTCTTTTAAAACTATCTACAAATTATGTACAGTAGTTGTATTCAGATCGGTCATTGACTCTGATACTATTCCTACCGTGTCATTTCTCATGATTAATTCATCTCCAACATCTTGATTTAGTGACTCAGCTGCTCCTCCAGGTCTATTGACTTTAATGGGTCTGCTAT